CCCCAAAACCCCAAAACCCCAAAACCCCTTTCCAGCCTTTCACTATTGAACAAAATCTTCTTCTTAGTAGCATAAAAGCTTATGACTGAATGGTACAGCTGTTAATCTTCTAGAGGGCTTAGGTAAGAACTGTCAGAGATTTGGGAGATGGTCAGTCCGTACTCAGGGAGGAAGGCTTTTACTTCGGAGGCAGTCAGACCGCAGGAGTAGATGTTGAGGGTTTGGAGGGAGTCTTTTAGGGGTGATAAGGAGATGGATTTGAGGAGGTTTTTGAGTTTTGACGGTGTTGATTTCCAATCGTTTCTGTCGTTTCTTCCGCAGTATTGGAGGTCCAAGGTTTCAATACTAGAATTAGAGCAATTGAATGTGGTTGAAGTTGAAGTATCAAATTTGCACCAATGCAAAATTAATCTGCTTGCTTTAGTGTTGCTGATAATGAACTCAAACTCCTGCTTTGTCAAATCAAAATCAGTCAATCAAACCTCTCTCATAACTCTCGGTATAACCTCCTTTATCTCATCATAATAATAACTCATCTCCGTATGCTCACAACTACTAGGTCTTCCCCAATTATAACTAAACAGTTCAACTTTATCAGGAAAACAATGTTGATAAAACTCTTTCACAGTAGCATCCTCTTTCTTATCCATGTCAATATAAATTCTTTTTATGTTGGGAAGTTTTACTCTATATTTCACCAGTTCTGTTAAAAAGGCTTTGTCCTTTTGTTGGGTCATCTTTAGTACTAGTTTGGTACTGGAATTGAATGGGTTGTGTTTGCCGTAGATTCTTGACCAGATATCTTGGCAGAGAGTTTTTGTGGTGTCTTGGTGGGTCTCTTTGAGCTGAGTTAGCTCTGTTACACTTGTTTTGAATTCTAGAGGATTTGTGGGAAGAGAATGAGGGGGTTGGGAGGATTTAAGGAGATTGAGTGATTTAGGATGAGAAAATATTGATGTAAAGATATCGTATTTGTGAAAATTTGCAGGTACTTTTATTTCGAATAGAGAGATAAAGAATAGAAATTACAGTAAAAATCATTTGAAAATTGTGATTAGTATTACCTTCTTCAGCTTTTTCCTTAGCCTCATTTAGTTCTTCAATCTCTGTTTTGTTTTCTTCAACCTTAGCTTCTAAAGCCTGAATCTCCGAAATTTTTTCTGAAATAAGTCTTCTTTGTTCTTCATTCTAAATTGAGGTTAAGCTTGTTTTTAATAATACTAATTAAATGAATCCAACCAACCTGATTCTTTATCTCTTCAATTTGCCTCTTAAATTCTTGGATATCCCTGGCCCTGGCTACTTCTGCCTCTTCTTTAACTCTCTGCTCTGTTTCAAGATTCGTGGACTTTAATACTTCTTCAAATTTCTTCCTCTAAATAAAGTATGAATTTAATCATTATTATGAAGGAGAAATAAAATGGTAATTAATAACCCAATAAGAAGACCTACTTCTTCCCAAAGCTTCTTTGACATTCCAATGACCAAGACAGTTCCAGTCGAGTCTCCTTCAAGCTGTTTGTTGAACATGAACTCCTTGAATCCGGAGTAAATATCACTCTTCTTAAAGCGTAAATAAAACCTAAAATAATTAAATCTTCTTTAAAACAGACTTTAATTGCTTAAAAGTTTGATAAAGATACAGAGAATTAAATTATGGCGATTATTTTAATTTTAGCAGAGTGCAAATTTTATTAAAAAATATCTTCTGAAGAAAGATTTACTTTGGCGTGAAGCCTAGGTCGTAAGCTGAACATTTTAAAAAAGGAAGCATATATTGGGAGTAAAGAAAGTTGATATCTTTAAAATGACAAAATTAGAAAATAATGGAGAAATAGATTACTCATCGATTTTTTGTTTGAGCTGAATGAAATCTAGAAACTCATCTCTATCAATTTTGCAATAAACTTCTTCTTTGATCTGATCAAACTCCTGCATAAGCTCCTCCAATGTAGAATGGAAGCCAGTTACCAGATACTCTAAACTATCGAAGGCTTTGCCATATTTGTGCATCTGATGGAGACTATTCCTCACAGGAATTAAAGAATTCTTATCCTTTTACCCTTCTTAAGCTGTTGGGATGAAATAAACTGTTCACAATGTCATTCAAAGTGATGGTAGGTCTGATGCAAATTGCAGAGCACCTTCTCATGCTTCGTACAATAAATATCTCTCGGTTTTATGCAGTCATCGTGTTGACAGACTGCTTGGCTATAGAAATAAGGTATCATACTTACCTTTTATGAATTGATCGCCTCATCTTTATTATTAATATTTTCTAATTTGTACTGCCTTATGTATTTCCGGGGTTTTGGGGTTTTGGGGTTTTGGGGTTTTGGGG